AAAGTCCACGTGTCACCTCCTTATTTTTTTTATTATTTTTGGCTCACAAATGCCCCCACACCTACTGGGCTGATCGCAAGAAAGGGCATTAGGTGTAAAGATCTCTAACTTTAATGCAGATTCCCACTTTGACTTGGAATTAGATTCTTCTAGGAAAGGGAAGTAAATCACCACTAAAGCCTATTTAAGCCTACCTTAAGTAAGGGATTAAATCAACTTTGGATGGCAATTATTTATCCCTACAAGAAAGAGAGAAAGCTAAAAGATATTTGTTCCCCCTCCCCTAGCATTCTTCTTCGCTTGCCTGTGCAAAGAACCGTATTCCGTTGATTTCTTTGTCTTCTCCACGCTGCACCAAGGTAAGAAATATTTAATTTTCCTTGTTTTTTTCTTGGGTGGTGCTGCCGCGGGGAAACCGTCGGGGTGGTGCGGCACGTTGGCTAATAGGGGCCAGAAGTTAGCTTGGTATGGGCCGATTATGTGGTGTGGTAGGGGCCACGACTTGGGCAGCTCGGCTTGGCTGAAGCCAAGGGCTAGCTCGACATGGGCTGTGGAAGTGGCGTGGCATTGGCCACAGTTTGGGTTGCAGCATCTGTGTTGCTTGCCAAGAAGAAGAAAACTGCTTGAGTTTGATTTCTTAACTGTCGTATATGGAGCAATCAATGACGAAGCTGCCAAGATCGAAGTTGCTGAAGATGAAGTGTCGGATAAGCAAACTACTAAGTACGAAGTGGTTGCTGAGGGCAAGATGGTTGTTAGAAAGCCCTAGGTCATCCAAGCTACTAAATGAGTAGTTTATTCTATTTAGCTTGTGTCGAATTTTGGTGACCTTCGCAAAAGTTTATCAATTTGCTAGAAATTTAATAAATTGTTTTCTTCGCTTTGCTCCATCTTCATTTTTTCTTGAAACTTTGCTTGCTTGAAGCGCCTTGCAAAACTTTTAGCCATAAAATCGTCAATTGAGCACGTTGTTTAAAAAAAAGTTGATCATCCTACGGAGTCACTAGGGCTGTGAGTTTTTGCTTCTTGGGTGTCGAGCTGTTGAGTTCGTCGTCGACTACTGCCCCTTGACCATTTGCTGCTTAGCGGGTCTTCAAGTATTCAATCCTTTGAGTTGTTTGGCCTACATCACAACATGATAAAGATATATGGAATATGAAAATCGTTAACTAATCACATCAAAATGAGTAGTTGTGTGGAAATTCATGGGCAGTTTGCCCCTTTTCGTTGAAGAATAGACCCAGATGAGTGTTGGAGAATTAGTTTATCCTCTCAAATTGAATAGCAGACCCAGATGGTTGTGGGGAATTGGTTTATCCTTTCGCACTAGAGAGCAAACCCAGATGAGTGTCGGGGAATTGGTTTATCCTCTAATCTCCAGTTTACCCAAATAGGTGTTGGGGAATTAGCTTACCCTCTTGCACTAGAGAGCAATTAGTTTACCCTATCTCACCAAAGAGCTTATCCATATAGGTGTCGGGGAATTAGTTTACCCTTTCGCACTAGAGAGCAATTAGTTTACTCTCTCGTATTGGAGAGTTTACCTAGATTGGTGTCGGGGAATTAGTTTACCCTTTCGCACATGAGAGTAATTAGTTTACCCTCTTGCATTGGAGAGCTTACCCAAATGGGTGTCAGGGGATTGATTTACCTTTCGCACTAAAAAGCAATTAGTTTACCCTATCGCATTGGAAAGCTTACCCAGATGGGTGTCGAGGGATTGGTTTACCTTTACCCTCTCACATTGGAGAGGCTACCTAGATGGGTGATGGGGGATTGGTTTACCCTCTTGCACTAAAGAGCATGGAAGTCGTTGTCATAAGCGCAGTTGAGGAAAGCTGGACTGCTAAACAACTGAAATAATCCCCAGCATGTGAGGTCTTGTTCGGCGATCTACTTAAGACTTCAAACTTGAGCTACTCCCTGACCTTCTCCAAGTATTACGTCATTCTTAGATGTTTATCGTATGTTCTTTTCAGGCTTGATTGATGGTCAGTTGAGAATCTGAATGGATTGCAAGCTTTTTCACCGCTAAGTTTTTCGCTGAAAGGGGCTGCTAGTAAAGCCTCGTATTCTACTCCATCGTTAAATGCTTTTAAGTTTGAAGTGTCTTAGGCTTAGTTGGCGCAGTTAAGAGCTTCAAGATGGCATAACTGGGGGCCGTGGTGTAAGATCAGCACGGTTGGAAAACCATGGTGACAGATCGAGGGTGGCAAGGAGTTATAAGGCCAGTAGACATGACTGTGAGTGCAGAGCTAAGGCCGACTTAGGCAAGGTTGTACGCAATAGGAGAAAGTGAACCACTAGGTCCGCGGTGCTCAGCTACTGGTGATGTGCTTGGGTTGGTGTGACATTTTGGTACCCGTATACCCTCAGTGTGCCATTAGGCTAAGCTATTACATTTGTCGAAACAGTATCCGCCAATGTATGTGGGATGGTTCCGTCTGCTTGATTTTGTCAATGAAATGTGACATGCTTATATTAGTCATGCCTCGTCGAAGCGCCTCATCAGTAGCTTCGTTATGTTGGAAATTGCTTAATCATACGGTTAAGAACCTCTCAACTTCTTCCTGAATTTGCCTCTACTAGGGCAGCAAAAATTTCAACTACCTCCGGTCGTGACCTGTTGGTCTAAGCTGTTTTTTCCTATGCTCAGTTAGTCTATGCCGTAGTTGTGGTACATATGGTACGTTCCTGGAAGGTGAACGGGTTACTCGCAAGCTGCCGGTTAAACTTAAGCTGAATTAAGTGACTGTTTCTCTCCGTCCATTGTGCTACCTACTTCGATGTTAGGTGATTGATGCTCCTTGTGAGCTTAGACGCGAATGAACACTTCGTGTGGAAAGTTGTCTATGTTGATTATCAGATAGTGGCCTCAATTGTCAATGTATGCTTGTCCGTGAGCTTAATTGGGAGTGCACGTTCCTCCACGCACTAAGATAAGAGTATACGCTATTTGGGGGCCCAGTCGGGAGTGTTCATTGTCAGAACGCTCGATTCATGGCTGGTCGAGAGGCTACTTGTGGGGATGCTGCTGGAGAGGTCGTCGTTTATCCTTGTCCTGCTTCAGGACACCTTGTCTAGGGCACGTTGCATATTGGTGCATTGCAAAAGCTGGTTCACCAAGGTCATCTACTGCGCGAGAGCGCTTGTCAACTCTATGACTTGTTGGGACAAGTGTTGTTCGCCATTTAGACTGGAAGAGCTTGGACGGTATGCGTCTCCTTAAGTAGTGGAAGTGTAATGGACTTCGAGTGCGAGATTGAGTTGGGATATATCAAATCTGCGGAAAAAGAGGGTGAAAATACCCCCGATTCAATCGTCAGTCCAGAAATATGAAGCTAGGACGATTGAACCAGTCTTAGACTGGTTTGGACTGCTAAATGGGCCATGGGAGTGGGTTGGGCCATGTGCATGGGCTGCCTCGCATGCGGTGTGAGTGGGCCTTGAGCTTGGGCTCAATTTTGGAACACGATGGGCTCACACTGGCCTTGGCCCCGCGAGTGCTGGGCTACTCCATCTTCCACAACTTTTTGGGCTTAGATGGTTTGGGCTGCCTCTAGCGTATGGGCCTACTGCTGCAAAGTGGCGTGGGCTTGGGCATGTGACTGCCTCGTTGCTCCCTGCTCACCGTGGGCTTGCTGCCATGAAGCTAGTCCACTCCCCACTGCCATGGTGATCCTTATGGTTGCCATGGTGGTGGTGCTCCGTGGTGGCAAAGTTGCTCTTCTTGCTATCGCGTTGAGCCTCGTAGATTGTCGTGGTGGGGCTACATCTCGAGCTCCATTTTATCCAAATCCTTGAATGTAGAAAGTTCCATTCGTAGTGGTTGCCAAATTTCCCACCATTGTATTTTCTCTTCGTCTATTCAAATAATTAAAAAATTATAGGAATAAGAACGTACGAAAAATTTACGAACGAATGAGAAATGAGAAACTTTGAATGTGGGAGTCTTCTTCGAGCGTGTGAATCAAACTCTCAATGAAAGCACCAATTTATGGATGCAAATTTCCGCCATCTCTTCCTTTGACGAAAATGCACCTGCAAAATAATAACACTAAGATTAATGCCAAAAAGCTCACGTGCCCACGATGAATGAGGCGGTTTGGCCGAAGAATCTCCGATGCCAAAGTTAGAGTTCATAAAAGAATATATTTTGGAGTTTGTGGGTAGCAAAATGGTTTACTATTTTAATGGAATAAGAGGGGTCTTTTTAGGAGGGTGGCTGACCCTTAAGGTGGAGAATGGCCGGCCTTATATGGTGGTATTTGGAGAATAATTTCAAGATATTATGTGAAATAATATCTTACAATTAACATGCCAATTATTTCTAAATTAAATAGGAAGTTTTGGGAGTTACATTTTGAATAAAATCAATAAAGGATTGATGGGGAGTGATAAGATGGATTTGAATAAATATCATATTGATCACCTTTAACTCTTCCTCAATTCAGCCATTATTGTCTGTTACTTGCGCGTGAGAATCCTGATGTGCCTCGAGAATATTCAAAAGTTCACATATCACCACCATAATTTTTTGAATTATGTTTTGCTCCACACAATGTGTTTCTGAAACCCTCGATTTATATGAGTTTGGTTGAAAGGGGAGGAGGACAATACGAGGACGACAGGATTTGCTTTGTGGTGGGGTTGAGTTTTGTCGTGATTTGGGTTAGGACATGTGGGATATTTTGAATCAAAATTGAAGTTTTGATTATTTTTATGATTGTCATGGCTAACCCGTGGGATTGCTATATGCAACATGCACATTTTTTCCCACCAAAAAAATGAGTGGGGACTTCCACTCATAATTCGTCACATGTGATAGGTCGTGTGAGAATGTGAAAGACAAAGTTTCACATAGGTGATGCAACAAACCTTGTCAAAAATTATAAAAAGTTAAATTATTTCCAATATTACCAATTGATTTTATAATAAAACCTCAACTTAAAGATCTAACCTCGCAGCGAAGCCTAGTATATAAATATATGCCGACCTCTCCAACCTGAGGATTGAGCATGTCCCAAAAAACAAAAAGATAGCAAGTTTTCAAGACATTAGGAAAAGCCATGGGAGGCGCCAAGGTCATCTCAACAAGTACAGTGCAAGCCGCGAGCCATAATGTTAATGAGTATTGCTCAACTCCAAGAGTTGAGTTAACTCCGTGGGATCTCCAACTCCTTCTTGTTGATCCCATCCAAAAGGGACTCCTCTTTCACAACCCGAAAACCTTATCACAACATATTCAACATCTGAAAGTCTCCCTTTCTCGAACACTTGACTTCTTTCCTCCACTTTCCGGTCGCCTTGCCACTATTCACCACGACGATAACACCACCTCCTTTTTCATCAATTGTAATAATGCAGGGGCCCTGTTTGTCCATGCCAAAGCCTACGGTGTTACCGTCTCCGACATAAATGAATCTGGCTATGTTCCTCGTGATGTTGTCCACTCTTTTTTTCCTCTAAATGGTGCTAAAAACTACGAGGGAACCTCTAAGCCGCTGCTTGCAGTGCAAGTAACTGAGCTTGGGGATGGTATTTTCATAGGCTGCACCGTCAACCACACAGTTGTTGATGGCACTTCCTTTTGGCACTTCTTTAACTCTTGGTCCGAAATTTCTCGGGGTTTTGATTTTGTCTCAAAACCACCTGTTCTTAAGCGTTGGCTTCTCGATGGTACTATTAGTCCCATTCGAATTCCATTCTCAAAAATTGAGGATCAAGTCTCCGATAAATACATCGGAAATATCCGAGTACCATTACTAAAAGAAAGAGTCTTTCACTTCTCAAAGGAAAAAATTGCTCAACTGAAAGCAAAAGCCAATGCTGAGATTCAACTTGAAAATACTAAAAGAAAAATCTCTTCTTTACAAGCAGTGTTAGTTCATCTGTGGCGGTCTATAATCCGTGGTAGTAATGGAGATCTTGATCCTGATAAAGAAAGTAGTTATCGATTACTCATAGGTGCTAGGTCAAGAATGAACCCACCATTGTCACAACAATACTTTGGCAATGCAGTTCAAGCAGGGACTGTGACCATCAAAGCAAGGGAGGTTATCAAGCGCGGGCTTGGTTTTGTGGCTTGGGAAATGAACAAGATGGTGGCTTTGCACACAGAAGAGAAACTGAGAAAATTCTTGGAGTGTTGGGTACAAGAGCCTAAGTTGCTGACAGAAGGAAACATGGCTGCTAACGCTTTGGTCACAAGCAGTTCACCGCGGTTTGACGTGTATGGAAATGATTTTGGTTGGGGAAGGCCAGTTGGGGTGAGAAGTGGTGCTGGGAATAAGTCACATGGGAAAATCACAGTGTTTTCTGCGGTTGAAGAAGGTAGCATTGATATTGAAGTTTGTCTTTTGGCTGAGACTTTGGAGGCTATGGGAAATGATTCAGAATTCATGGATGCGGTCACAGTCTAGTTGTAGGACCACCTTCGGGTTTGTGGATGAACGCTCTGTATCCTCTACCCTTATACTCCAAGGAGCTAATATCGCCTAATGTTTTATTAAAATAAATGTTTTGATGCATAATCAAATTATCATTCTCTGTTGATATGTCCAATTTGCTGGTGTAATCATTTCTTCTCAATTAATATTCAATATAGAAAATGCATGTCATGCATTTCTAATTTCTAGAGTGGATTAGTAGGATAACATATGAATGCTTTGCCAAGCGATCACGCATTGGCCACGGGAAGCTCGCCACGTGCATGGTAACGATTTTGGTTGAGGAAGGCCTCTGGCAGTTAGAAGTGGCGCTGGGAACAAGTTCGATGTGAAGCTGACGGTGTTTGCCGCGGCTGAAGATTGAAGCATTGATTTTGAGGCTTGTCTTTCGCTGCAGACGTGGCAAGCTAACTTTCCTCATGGTGGAGGACGAAGAGTTCATGGCTAGTGTGGCTTAGTGAACTTTATTTTACTTTATTTTACGTTTATGTTTTTCAAAAACTTCGGCGTAGGAAGAAATTTTATCATTAGGGATCTTGACGTTGATTTCTTTGGTTTATTATTGTGCCTATGTTTTATTTTTGTGTAATTTATTCTTAAGAAAATCCACCGTCCCACTTAATTAAATCCTCCAGTCAATAATTGAAAATTAGTTGGTTTTATTACAGTTCTGGACAATTAAAAAAGGAAAACTAATGAAAAGGGCTTGAAAACTTTGAGTTTTAATGATAAGGACAAAATAAAGAGTAAAGTGAATAGTACCAGGATTGACTTTTTAGTGTAAAAATGTGGTTTTTCGTTAAAGTGAACAGTATCGGATGCTTTTCGTTAAAGTTCCCAATTAAAAATGGTTGTAGGCTTTCCCCTACACCATGTCATCATGAGTCAGCTAACAGTCAGCATCGTAAATAAAGGGTCAGAATTATTATAGGATAGTGTTGTTGTTTTGTTTTGTTTTTTTTTTTATAGGAAAACTAATGAAAATGGTTTCAATACTTTGATTTTTAATCAAAAACCATATAATAACTTTATTTAATGGTTAGGACAAAACACAATATCAAATCAGCCCAATAAAGACTGGCCCAAACAAATAATTTATTGAGCTTCCAATTTTACCCTACCGTCAGTATTGGCCGTTTATGTTCTTCGTTTCCATCACGGGTGTTCTTCTCATTTGGAGATCGTCTTCTCTCTCCCTGCCTGCACTCCTCCTTCTCCTCCTCCATGTCCGCCATGACGTCATCTCAGTACCTCATAAACCCACCGTCCCTGCAACCACAAAAGCCATCCACATCTTCCGAAGCGCTCGCATCCACCATCTCCGGCAACCTCAAGATCAAACTCAATTTCCCGATATCCACAAGCTTTCACCTGTCGATGATGGCGTTGTATTTCAGAACCCGCATGATGCTATATTGCTATATGGACGAGTGGACGGATTCATGGTTGAACTAGAACCACGTTTCGAGAAGACCTTGTCAGGTTTAAGAGCACAGCTTGTTTTAGTGATTATTATTATTTCTCTTATATATGTCAGTCCACCATCAATATCTAAAGTTCATCAATCCTTCCTATGGCCACCAAAATTAATTGAAAATTCAGAAAACCTTATCAGCTTTGCCTTTGGTTGTGAACTGCTATCTCAAAATTGCCAAGAGCTCTTTGTGTGTGGCACGACTTTGCATTTTGTTTTTTGTTTTTTTCTCTCTCTTTGCAACCTTTCAAGTTATCGAAATCAAAGTTTTGAGTTTACATGCATTAGTGTGACAAAGCTTTTGCTTGATTTTATATATTCTGTCAAGCTTGAGTGAAACTTTAACCAAATAAATATTATTCTTGAAGCTTTGGTTTGGATATTTCTTATCATTTCGAGTTTAGACCTTCAGTTAATTTCGGTTCGTCTTGCTAATGTCATTGCGTTTAGTAGTATTCTTTTTTATTTGTAAGTGAAAATTACGTGCAACAAATATATTATTTTAAAGGTCACAATGGTGCGATAGATAAAATTATCATGTGTTTATATAATACAATTTGCCCATTATGTACTTATAAGGTGGTGTCACCGATTACAAGATAGTTTCCTCGACTCTTATAATGTTTTGGTTGTGAAATTTTTGTTTTTGGTTGTTTGAAGTTTTTGGTTGAAGTTGCCAAGAGAGGAGATTCATGTTATTATAAACTTTGATTTTTATGTGCATATATTTTATATTGATAGTACCAATATTCAGTTTCAGAAATAATATATTACTCGAGTTCAGTTTCATAAATAGTCGGTTTCAAAAATAGTATAATGCCCCTATTTAGTTTTAGAAGTATAGTACCCGCAGTCAGTTTCATAAATAGTGTGGTACCTGTGTTCAGTTTCATAAATAGTGTGTGTGGTACTCATGTTTAGTTTCAGAAATAGTGTAATATTCGTGTTCAATTCATAAATAGTCAATTTCAGAAATAGTGTAGTACTCATGTTCAGTTTCATAAATAGTGTAGTACTGTTTCAGTTTCAGAAATAGTGTAATACTCGTTTTCATTTTCAGATTTAGTTAGTGTTCCGTTTAAGAAATAATGACTGGTAGTAACTTTTTTAAACCCACAACAATATCAAACTGACTCTTTATAAATAACTTAAATGAAATCTATATTAATCTTACTTTGATTCTATTATTTCAATAAGCATTTCAACACGATTTTGATATGGTATTTTGTGGTGGATGCACATATATTTATAGGCCTGATTATAGTACTAATAAATTAATAAATAAAATAATAATAACGGACTAATAATTGGGGATGAAGGTTATAATTTTGGAATGAGAATCCTCGCCAGATTAAACTTTCAATGGCAGCATCATACATTTGTTTACCATTTAGCACAAAGATGAGGTTAAGGAGTCAGAAGATGAGGTTAAGGGAGTCAGACTCCACAATTACTTTCTACCTTCTCAACGTAGGCCCATAAGGCCTCCCTCACCGCCATAGATTCGATGGCTAAACTAGAGGCTACCCTCACTCCACCACGACCTCCTCCCAATTGGAACCAACCACTGCTGTTTCTAATCACCCAACCCGTACCACTAATCGCCATCTCTTCTCTCCATGCACCAACATAATTAACCTTCCACCAACCAAATGCTAGTTTCCTCCACACAAAATAAACACTATTTATAAAAAGATAGCAAAATAACTCACAGTATTTCTGGAATTGAACGAAATAAACACTAGTTATAGAAATATAGCAAAATAACATACACTATTTTTGAAATTGAACCAAAATAGTGCACACTTTTTTCTAGAACTATCGCAAAATTACACATTATTTATGAAACTGAACCAAAATAACCTGTAATATTTTTTAAATTGAACCAAAATAACACACTATTTCTGAAACTAAGCAAAATAACTAACATTATTTATGAAACTGAACCAGAATAACTCGCACTATTTATGAAACTGAACTAAAATAACACGTACTATTTTTGAAATTAAACCAAAACAACACACATTATTTCTGAAACTACAACAAAAGAACCCACACTGTTTCTGAAACTGAACCTAAATAATTCACACTAATTTAGACCAAACATAATCATAAACTAGTTTCCAAAAAAAAAAAAAAAACATAATCATAAACATTGATGTGAGTCTCGCACTTTAAGTTTCACTGATCCAAGAAATCTTGCCTTAACCTTTGTTGGTAATTTTAGTGCATTGAGTGCCCTTTAACTCCACATCACCTTGCCGGACACTGATCTCGAGGGCCTCCTTGTTGAGCCCCCTCATAGTTCCCCAAGTACCTCTACAGAAGGTTCACTACCTGATCCTCCAACATAATCTCGTCGGCCGCCCAATCTTTCTTCCAAATCACTATCTCATTTTAACCGATTGAAGTCGGAAGAAATCGCAAGGTGAGAGGAAGCTCGTTCGTTGGAGGAGGTAGGCACCTTTTGAATAACAAACCTATTGATCTTTGTTTGGTGGATTAATGAGGTAGTGGCATACTTGTAAATAAAAAGAAGTTTAATTCTAACAGATTGGTTGACAGAATGTGATTTCTGTTAGGGGGAGGGGCTGGAAAAAAAATTTTATTTCGTTTTGGGCTTTTAATTCATCCTATGTGGGTTTAATGGTTGTGGGCATGAAATAGATTAATTTTGTTCTTATAATTAAATATAAAGCCCATTTTATTAAAGCTCCATTTTTTTTATAGGATAGTGTTATTATTCACACCTTTATTTTTTTCCCCACATTTTTATTAATTTTTATCAGTTGATTTTTTTTCAAATAATTCAATATTAAGAAAAGTGTGAAAAATAAAAATGAGTGTGGATGGAATGGATACAGACACCCTCGTTATATCGCATCATAATTGATGCTAGCGTTAGCCTCCACCCAGTCAACAGCAGTTCTAATCTTTATTTTGTCGTAATTGTTTATGGTCCAGTGCCACACAATATTGTAGCCTTAGCCTCTGTGTTTTCCAATTAAATTTTGAAACGAAAAAAATGAGTCGGATTCGGCATATATCCACGACGATTGTCTGACCAACAAGCTGTGATCATCTCTTAACTCGAAGATTAATCGAGTTAACTCCGTGGGATTCGAGACTAATCCAGCTTGATTACATCCAAAAGGGACTTCTCTTTCAAAAACCAGCAGAGAGCAGTTTGATACAACACCTAAAAGACTCCCTTTCCCGAACTTTGGATATCTTTTATCCACTCGCTGGCCGCCTCGCTGTGACGGAAAATAAGGATAAGACCCCTTCTTGTTTTTCTATCAACTGCAATGGCGACGGAGGACAGTTTGTCCATGCAGCTGCTGATGGTGTTGGAGTGGCTGATATTCTCGACCCTGTTTATGTTCCGGAGGATATTGTCTCCAACTTCTTCTCCATGAATGGGATTTTGAACTACGAAGGCGTGTCCAAACCCTTGCCTGCCGTGCAAGTAACTAAGCTGGTTGATGGCATTTTCATAGGTTGCACAATGAATCACTCTGTTGTTGAGGGGTCATCATTCTGGCATTTCTTTAACACTTGGTCGAAAATCTCTCGTTCGGGCAAAAATTCTGAACCCCCTCCCATTTTTGATCGGCCAACTTCTTGATGGCTTGTTTCATCTCCCAATTCCAATGCCCTTCTCACACAGCGGAATCTCAGATAAGGTCACTCGACCGATCTCATTGAATTCTTTACAAAGGGTATTTCATTTTTCCAAAGAAAAGATTGCACATCTCAAATCCAAGGCCAATGCCGAGATGGGCACCAATAACATTTCATCCCTTCAAGCACTCATGGCCCATCACTGGCGAGCAATAACTCGTTGTGGACATCTCAACCCTGATCAGGTGATCAGTTATCGGGTTGCAGTAGGATTGAGGCAAAAATTGAAGCCACCATTGCCAAAGGAGTGCCTCGGAAATGCACTTCAGGGAGTTTCTGTGAAGTCCACGGCATGTGAGCTTTTACAACACGGACTAGGCTGGGCGGCTTTGCATATAAACAAGACCATTGCTTCCCTGACAGCAGAGGAAGTGAAGAAGACATTGAAGGATTGGGTAAACGCCCCTCTAATACTTTCAAATATGAGGAGTAATATTCCAACAAGTACTAGTACCGTTTCATTGCTCATAGGAAGCTCACCACAGTTCAATGTGTATGGTAACGACTTTGGGTTGGGGAGACCGGTTGCTGTGCGAAGCGGAGCTGCTAACAAAATGAACGGGAAAATAGCAGTTTTTCCTGGGGCCGAAGAAGGAAGTATTGATTTTGAAGTTTGCCTTTTGCCTGAGACTCTACATGCTATGGCAGAAGATGCAGAGTTCATGGAGGCTGTGGCCACATGTACTAAACCCTGCATATATGAAAGCTGTCTTGCAGATTAAATTACCAATTTGGTTAAATATCCAAAGGTTAAGGTTGGTATTATTAGCTTACTAGATGAATAAGGAATCTGTAACAAATAGACAATTTGATAACCATTTCGTTTTCAGTTTTTGTTTTCAAATTGAAGAATTCAAAGGGAAATCAAATAAAGATGTGTAAGAGGAGAAAAAAGTATGAGAAAATCATTTTCCTTACTTTTTCCATCTTCTAAATTTGTCCTCGTCATATTTTAATTCATAATCTCATGCTTCCTTATACCGGCATCCCCAATTTTTCTTCTTACATCGTTTATTGGTGTAAGTTGACTCGATACAAGTCGTTTATTGGTGTAAGTTGACTCGATACAAGTAAAAAAAATGTGAAGTAAGCTTATTGGGTTCGATACCACCCAGAGTATTAAACCTAAACTGTTAGAGGTTTTCTATTTGAAATCGCTAAAAAAAATCCCGGCCTAGTGCTCCATCTCATATTAAAACCCTTAAAAGAATAACGTCATTATGTTTTCTTTCCTTGTTTACTTTGTTAATTCATCTTAAAAATCAAGCTATATACTCAGACTTTGTGTTTTGTTTTTTTGGTCGAACTACTCAGAATCTGTGGTTTTGTACCATGGTTCATAATAACAACTTCAAATCGTGGAAGACACCTGCTTGAACATTGGCAAACCCTAGATTTGAACGAATTAATTGAGTTTTTTTTTTTTTAATTGTTACGGGATGTTGGAATTCTAAATTTTTTTTTTAAAGCATGGAACAGGAATAAAATTTTCATTTCGATTAGATCAAACTAATTTTCTATATTTTGGAGATTCCTACAATATAGGGACTCGAGTGCGCCGCAAATAATCACACTCTAAGAAAACACTATTCTTTTCAAAAAAAAAAAAAAACACAATATCTAATCCTAGATATCCTAGGGTTCTCCCATTCAATACAAATTTCATATAAGTTTTTCTCCGGACTAGTATAAATACCCTCATTTAGGGTTTATCTCTAGTAATGTAATCATCGCAGATTTTACTCCCTTGTCCACTAATTGACTCTTATATCTAAGCTACTTATTAATAGAAGTCTGTCAGTCAACCAAAACTCTATGCAATTACTGTTCTAACCCTCTCATCAAAGCTAAATAAAATTAAAAGACATGGCAATTTAGTAATTATATATCACTTAAATTTTTAGTTTTTTACACAAACATCACAGCTAGATAAACATAACACATCCTATTTAAAAAATAAAAAATGGAGGATGTCTTTTTCTTTAAACCCACGTCTCCCACTTTAAAACCACCCCCTAACCCCTTCTTCAAAGTTCCACGCCCAAAATTTTTTTTGAAAATTTTTATTTTTTATTTTTAAAATAAGTGATATAAATATTTTTGTAACAAATAATAGACAAATTTAATTACACACGTATAACGTGTGCGCACATGACTAGTTGCTCATTAACTTAACCGTTGAAGAGCCTTTGACCGCTCCACCGGCCCAAGGTTAATGGTGGGTGTTTTCTCTTTACACGAAGCCGGATTTCTTCCATCCACAACGGTGCACGAATTTGGTTTCAACAAATACATTGATTTCAACCAACTAATTATGACAATTGAGTGAAAAAAAAATCAATTACCTTGAAAAAATACAATTTTTTATTTTAAAAATAAAAAAAGCTGAGGTAAAAACCTATTAATAATAATAGGCTAGGGGTACAAACTCAAACATAAATTAGAATTCCCTGCATTTTTTTTATACTTTTTAGATCAAGCATTAGTTCCATTTTAAGATTTAATTAAGGCGCCTTAAACAATAGTCACATCAGCATTTTTATATTTATTTAAATTAAATGTCATTATTCTATTTTTTGAAATTAAAATGTTAATTATTGGATTCCAAATATGTCCTTTTAGGCAGATATTTCTTTGTACGTGACCTTTTTTTGTAGGAAGTGGTTTGGTTTGTTGAATTTCAGAACGTAGATTTCTTCTCCTAGGTTGAATTTTTTTTATCTCTCATTTTTGAATTTTGAATGGATTTATCCATTTCAATTAGTGGTTGTTTGCACAATTTTATCTTGTTATTGGGTAGATAATTAAGAGAACATATCCGGTTTGTTTTGGGAAAAAATTTCGTAAGAGTATGGTCAAAATTTTCAAGTTCACTGCAGAAGTAGTTGAGGTAACATGCAGATTTCGAGAAAAAATGGTGGTGGACTAATTGACAAACTCTTGGAGGACTTGCCCAAACAGAACTATGCTGATCCATTCTTCTTAGGTGCCAGGTACGATTTGTAACGCCCCGCCCCGAATAAATTATTTAATTCAAGAAATAATGTTATTATTTGTTGATAGGCCCAACCTAAAAATCATGTTTAGTTGATTACCATTAATTGTTTATTTTCTACTATATTCAATTCACTAATCCTTACATTAAATTCAAAACCGAATAAAAAAACATAAGGTAAAACTCAAATTATTTACTAAATTCCTTCCTTTAATTCTATGTCTTGTTTCCGACCTTGATTCATAATTAAAAAAAAATTAACACCAAACGTACAAATTTATTCTCATCTTGTCTCTATTTCCTTTTATAACACACTTCTCATTCTAAGAATTATTTCTCGAGTTATTTAAGGCTACATCTAACACTGTTAGACTACCTACGTACCCTGGAGTGGGATCAAGCCTTTCGTAGTTCACATATTCCAAAATTAAATAAAATCTGAATATATTCAGTTAATCCAACATATACCAAAATCGTATTAATATTCAAACCACAGCAATTTGATCTCAAAAACATAATTAGAATAACGAAATTCACATAAAGAACAATTGTCGGCTCCCTGACCGTGCGCCGGCACACCCGCCGCCCCGACTCGTCGAAAAATTCAATTATTTCTAAAAATTCTCAAAAATTACAGAAAAGAAGATCTCAAAGAATAGAGAAAACTTTATACATGTGACCAAGTCCAATTTGGTCTAGAAATGCTCCAATTTGGCCCAAACCTGCTGGAACCCTAGAAATTTAGGTGTCCTCGACTCGACTCCATAGCAGCTCTGACGCCCCAAACCTTGTTTGGGTTTTATTCCTGGGTTCTCAAGGAACATGTTGGTGGTGGTAATTGGAAGAGTTTGTTTCAGATTTGGTGGATCGCCACCTATGAACTCACGCACCCACCGGTGGGGTTTTGCACAGTTTCAGGGCCAATATCTATCTAATTTATGATAGAATCAGTCAAGGGGAGGTCATGAAACCTTTTTAAGATGGTTTGGTAACATAATTCGTTGGAAAAACTAACGAAAAGCCACCGGAGGAGGTGGAGAAAGCCGGGTCTCGATGGCATAGAACCGGGTTGAAGGATCCGATGCACTTCCTTCCTCTCATTTCCCCTCATTTCTCTCTTCTCTCATTGGTCACTCTCTCATCTCCCCCTTTCCTGATTGGGCTTCTCTCTCCCTCCTTTCTCTCCTTTATCTTCCATCTCCACCGCCTAACTTTTCTTCCTTTTAATCTGGGCCACACACGTGGCCTTCCAGATTTGGCTCCAAAAATCTAGAGCATTCTATAAATGATAAATTTACAATTTTACCCTCGACTTTAAGCGTTAATAACTTCTTATTTATATCTCCAAATTGTGTTCCGTTTGCGCCTACGCATTCATGAGATCAAGCTTTATTCAAAAACATAAATTTTGACCTTGAAAGGTCTACATATTTTCAATAATTAATATCCAAATTTTAAACCTCGTAACTAGTTTAATTTAAAACTAAAATTCTATCAATTAATAAATTCCCAATTCTTTTTACATATTCATAATTATGAATACCGAATTCCTATATTTACATTTTTTAGGGTATTACATTCATCCCCTGTTAAAATAAATCTCGTCCTCGAGATTTCAACCATTGAATTACGAAAAGAATTTAAAACCATTTCCTTAATGATGAATAAAATTGTAATCTCAGTCTACAATTCTATTCAAGCTCCAAAAATAAATAATTTAATGAAGCAATCATTTGTACTCAGATTTCCTACCACCCTCAGTGGTAGAAATAAGTATTGGAAAATTCAAACCATACTCATTTGCATAGATAATATCCAACATTAGGCCATAGTTCTCATTGGCTAAATAAATACCAAAACTAACAAGCCACACACATTGGCAAAATACATATAAGAAATTCCAGCTAAAATCCTTAGATCTTCTAATCATTATCATTGTATAAAAATTTTGAAATTTAAAACAAATTCGAAATTTCCGTTTATATTAGACGAACTCAAATCTCATCCTATAGTTTTCCTCAAATACACCAATTGCCCAAACGGACATACATGCTTAATCTTATCACAACTTTAAGCTTCCAAGGATCCAATTAAACACATACACCAACCAAAATACAATAAGCCTTCACGATGCATATCGAATTCAATGAGACAACCAGTTTGGCTTTGGTAAATGACTTTGTTTTGCTCATTAAGTGAAGGGAACCGTCTTCCATATTTCAATGCAAAGTCAGAACAAATATAACTTGCTCAAAAAAATTTAAGAACCACATCAGTGGCAAGTGTGATATGTAGACTTTCAACATTTGTACAACTATCAATTACTGATTGAGCTATTTGGTTTCAATCTCTAAAATCAACTTTTCTTAATAGGTTTTAAATGAAAAATCTCCATGCTCCTTCCACCATTCCATCTATAGTGGACAATCAAATAGCAAAAATTTTAACCAAAATCATTGAAATTTCAAACATAATTACTCACCATTAAATTAAATTAAAGGTCTACAATTTTGTTACCACGGAATGAAACTCTCCAAATGAACTCATCTAGAAAACGTTTATATTAAATGAACTCAAGATCTCATTTCATATTTTCATTCATGTTCATCCATTACTACAACATATAGTCTTATTTCCATTTGGTAAATTGTCATGACTTAATGAATACCAAATTTCCAACCACAAATAATGCACTATCAATACAATTCATAATTCACACTCACAACTCAATAATGTCTCATAATACATAACATAATGTCAATCCAATTCATTTCACTTCATAACGTAAATCACAATTCCCATTAACGAAACTTCCATATTGACCAAGGAAATTGCACCACAATCATAATACGATTTATATATGTATTTCACATATAAAACATGTATGCCACCTTTTTCCTAAAAATATGAATTAATGCAACCCCAATGCATGTCATAATTCAC